ACGAAATCTGAGGTGCATTTGGGTAGCAGCGCTCACAGCGGTAAGGCATCGCTTCGACGGAAGTACGTGGATGAGGAATCCAGTGCAAGTACAATTCATGTAGTCCCATTTAAAAGGAGAAAGACATCCAGCGTTGATACGATACAGTCAACAGACTTTCGAGCACCTAGTTCTGACTCGCATAAAGAGCTGGAGTTGCTGGATGTGGCATCGAGTAGAGATACGCCGAAGTCGAGGAAGAGAAGGAGCAGAAAAAAGCATGTGAGTTACTGGTTTATATTAAATGCTATCCCTTTGTGAAACACAGCACATCTTCAGCATGCGTCCACAGCCCAAGAGAGCAAGGTTGCTTATCCTCATCCACCGCAGTCGTACAACAGCGTAGTAGCTGCAGAGGTGAATGGCATCTCAGAGGTTTGTTTATCGTGATTCAAGTCATGCAGTTCACTTTATCTATCGTTTCAACAATACGGTGACTGAATCAAACGTTGTATTTTAGTTCTTGGAAAGCGATGACCAACTACAGACGGGTTACTCGTCCTTATCGGTTTGTCTTTCCTTATGTGCAGGGTCATTCCATATACCGACGAATTACAGCACATCGAGTCATCGTTCATCGAATCCCCAGATCTGTTTGGTATTGGAGAACATACGAAACGGCGGTCAAGACCCAAGGCATGACACATCAGAAGTACTCTTTTCGATACTAACTGATTTCTTCAGAAGGAGAGGCACGTAAGGGAAGAGGTGGTGACGCGTTCGAAGACTAAAGCCCTGGCTGCTGCACATCCTCCGGATAAGCCCAGAATTGTGCTTCGTATTAGAAAGTCCAGTAGTGGTGTTGTGATACAACGAGTTGAGCCTGAGTATGGATCTAATGGAATGGGCTTCTTTGGTAAAAGGCTGCTGGTGAGTTCCTGCATTCGGTGCTGCTGAAACCTCATTGTATCTTTTGAGAGTCTCGTCCGCCACTTGAGAGAGAGCCGTTTTGAACACTCTTTCATGATTTGTAATGTAAGTGGAAGCTTTCCATGTTCATCGTTACCTATTCACAAGGTACACTTCCCATTTTAGGAATCTTGGCCTGGAATTCGTTGCATCAACAAATATCCTTCAATCCATAATTCGGTACGCTTTAACGCATCTTTTCTCTTTTGTGAGGTTATAGTGTGGTTTCTTCAGGTGGTGTCCACATTATCTCGACAGCGGAATCACTTGATCTCCGATTTCAATGTAGGTATTTCTATTCTCACGTTCTGATTCAAATGAAAGTGAAGTTTTTTCGTTTTAAATGCAAATTTCTAGCTCACCATGGTTAAGTCTAAGAATCCAATTGTAACGATGGACGTCAGTACATGTGAGTTGAATGACAGGAGATGTAGCATAGAAGTCATCTACTCAAAAAAAATAATGGCTTGAGGATCTTTCACTTTAACGGTATTTCAGCTGCCTTGGTGAACTCGCTGAACCCCTTATCCCCGATTTGTTTGTCTCTTCCGCGTGCCGAAGGTAGCCTGGAGCATGCGGTGGAGCAGTTCGAGAAGGGTATCGGTTGCGTTTTGGAGCAAGTCGATAATGCTAGGACAATCATTTCCGTGAGCAATGTTTACAGCAATCTTGCCACAAGCGACTCTGTCTGAGAAGTAACATTCAAGGGCCTTCGAGATAAAATGCACTGGTCGTTGCATTTTCTTATCGATGCACAAATGTTTCTTCTGGATCTTCTGTACGAATTGTGGGGATTCACTGCTCGCACCGTTCAGATAGCTGTATTCAGCGTTTACCAGACATGCCTTTGGGAGAAACACAGTGAACTTGTAAGTTTCATTCATAATGCTATCGTAATCATATGTCTTTCCCCATTGTAGTTTGACGCTCGTATGTACTGCCTTCTTTTCGAAATGAATGCTTCCGCTGCGCTTTCTTGCAACATCGATACATGTGCTTCGTATCTACGAAGGTTCGAGGAGTGGTGCAGGTGAGTCTGAATAATTTTATAGTCCTTTTCTCCAAAATCCATTTTTTGAAGAAATTCGGGCAACTGCACTTCCATCTACAGTCATGTTCATGGCTTAGCATTATCGCTTATCAAGCTGGTGAGGATTAAAGCTTATCAAATCTATCAGACGAGTACGCCCAGCTAAACATTCCATTGCAGATCATGGTTCCTGACATCTTGAAACGTTTACAACAGAAGACACTGTGGAATTCGAAAGCCTTACCGTCGAAAACAAACGAGGAAGTGTTTTCAGTGGATCTAGCACCATTTTTTCAAGTCGGCGCATGCCCTTTCGAGAGTGAAGAATTTGATGTAAGCTCTTGTTCAAACAAAGTAGATGTTCCTTTTTTCATTTGTTCAGTCGCACATGCGCTTTCTTGATAAAGAGCAGAGTACCTTGTTTACAGCTTGAGAAGATACTGAAGGCTGGAATGCCTCTCATTAAATCTCCGCTCGAAGATCTGATTGGTTTTGGAGCAGCTCAAGACAACAATCGGTCCGATGCGTTTTCCTTCCTGTTTCCATCCCATGCTGTTGTTGAGCTTTGTCGAAAGCAGATTTTTGACGAAATCGAGGCGTACTACCACAGCCATGCCATGGTATGATCCCTAGTGCACTCAGTCAAAGTTTAAGTGGTTTTTCCCTCAGAAGTCAGTTCTTTCGCTTTCGAATCGTCATCTCTACGTTCTTTCACCCATAGCCAGAGGTTACTTCATATCTCGTGTTACTGAGTCGCGAGCGCAGAGTCATATGCGAAATCATGTCATGAACATCGAGAAGCTCATTGAGAGGGTACGTTAATGTCAGTCTATTCTGAGTTACTGACTGTCGTGCTACAGCTGAATTGCGTCTACGCCGATCTCAAAGCCAGTGTTGCTTTACACAATCAAGCTGAGTTCAACTACCCTTGTGGGCAAGTGGTATTTGGTTTTGAGTGTGGAACTGTGAACGTCTCCATCAATAAGCCGACCTTAGCAAATGTGCCACAACTTAGCACTGAAGCCATGGAAGAGGCTCAGCGAATCATGGGCAGCGCTGTTGACAATACGGTAAGTTCTACATAGATTTCGTTTCAGCTGCCTGAAAGCTTTCTTCTTTAGATCTTCCATCCCTCGACGGGACAACATGGTGACTTGAGCTTGAAGAGCCACAGAATGAAGAAGTCTGTGGAAGCAGTGAGGAAATGGGTTGCGAGTATTCAAGAAACCGCCGTGGACGAGAAGGAGTATGCCGAACTGCAGACGTCTTTGCGTCATGAGGACGATTGTATGGACGTAGTGTACCCGAGCAGTCCAGCTAGAGTGCAGGTTATTGATGACGAAGATGACGACACCGAGTTCGGCTCCTGTGAATTACCATCGAAAAAATGTTGCGATGCGAACACTGTCACGACGGTCATCGCAGGGAGGAAGATACAGTATACGGTGACTGACCAAGTTCACTTGGATATCTACCATTTTCATGTTTTCTTTTGATTTATCTTGTCTATTGTAGGTGGATTGCGAACAAGGCTACCTGAAAATGAAAACCGTTGACTCGACAGCTAACGATGAGTCTACTGATGATCTCACAGCTACCAACACGTTCAGTACCGCATCATTCAACTCCCTTGATCAGATTGAGACTCTAAAAATCATAAGATCCAAAGAGGTCAGCTCAGGCCTAGTGGTACCTTGACTGTGTATCTAATTATCATATTATCATTAAGACTGGTGAGCTGGACTGGATAGCAATGCTCCAGAATGCTTTGGATGCTGCTCCGCTTCCAGAAACTTTGCCAAGATTTATGCTAAGCAAGGAATCAAGCGATTACAAAATTCTGGATGTGTAAGTTCTATTATTTGAAGTACAATTAGTATAAGGCTCGGCTCGGATGGTCTGTCTTTCAGGATGAAATGTCATGAGTACGCCAACCACTTCGTCCATGAAACTAATGAAGATGGAGAGTTCCTGGATCAGCGCAAGGAAATGCGGGAAAAGATAAAACAGTTCCAGAAAATTGACTATTATGAGAGAAGAAGGAATGCTAGGTGGGTGCTATTTGAACTACCGAACTAGTGGGACGTCGTATCCGCTTCTTCATACAGGTTCGAAAAAATAAAGAGTTGCACCCCACTTGAGATGCCTCGACCTGACTTGAGCACGCTCGATCAGTTCCCAGCTTATGGTATCTGGATACATCAGGTTGTACTTTACGCCGAAATGGAGAAGAAGAGGTCTGTATCTGTGTATTTTGTTTACAAGTGACAACCAGATTACTGTATTATCGCTTATTTACAGGCTTATGGGTTTGAAACCCATCGATAATGTTGGTCGCTGCAGAGCTGCGCGTTCCGAATTAATTCGGGGGTTTGCAGTGCCTAGCAAGCAGAGGAAAAGGTATGTGATGACGTCTAGAATACAAAGTAATGTAAGTACATATACAGATCTGCTTCGGCGGTATCATGGCTAGGGCGGACAATGCGTGAGCATTTTGGCGACTATATCGAACTAGGCATGTCCAGGCTCCAGTACGAGAAAACGGTAAGACCTTTTTCCTTTATCTTTTGTTATCATATAATCGTCCATTCTCTTTTCAGCAGTCAGGCAAGGAACGAGATGATGTCAGAGGTTTTGGCTCAGATGATGTTATAACCGACTATTTTGTGAGTAGAAATAACACACCTACAACACTCATGGATCCTGCGGAACTGATTGAAAACCCGTATGCATACTTCCGTCCGACAAATCCGTCCAGGAAACGCCACGTAAGTTTTTAAAAATATAATGCGAAGCAGTGAGTCATGATAAATAAGGGAGCATCCACCATTGTTCTTGTAATCGATATTCTGAATTTTATAGTTCCCTTGAGGTTTTCCTCATCATGCTATAATGTCACCGCTTTCAGCCATCACCTATCCTCCTGGAGAGCTCATTGGTGAAACGCTTCCCAGAATGCCCGCTGCTCGCCCCATTCGGAGTAGTGGATGATGAGCCTGAGACTCTCTATCCACCTTACGATCCTAATGTGTTTACGAGTGATGACGATGACGACGACTAGTGTATGCATAGTTGTCACTGAAGGAGATTCGCAAAGGTGCCGTCGCAACGAGACGGATTACTAAAGGCACATGTCCAATGCCTTTAGAAGACGGATTACGTCTTCCTGAAGATGACTTTTGTCTTCACGAAGAACAAGTGATTGATGAATTGCTGCAAGGAACAATCCGGCAAACCAACGCTTACATGCCGCCAGTCAAAGCAAGCGGCGATGGGGATTCTCCTGCATTTTTTTTT